TCTGGCAGTGGTATGGGATACTTTTCATTTTAATAATTCTATGTGAGAAATCATGGATGGTGTAATGTCATGTTATTCTACCAAATCAGGGTGATTCCAAGATACAGGAAGCATCAGGGTGGTTCCAAGATACAGGAAGCATATCTGATCTTCCAAGATTTCTCTGAGAAATATTCATTGACTAGATTGATCCTAAATGGGAAGGCTGTCTGCTTTATGCACATGGGAAACTTTGATGAAGCTGAAATATTGTTGCTTGAAGCACTTAATAAGGCAAGTTTAAACAGTGGAAACTTTTGTTTTCTTTAGATTTAAACTGATGATTTGGCAATTCTTTTGGTGTTTGTTTATAGCCCCAGAAGAGGATTGACTACAGATGCGATACATGATCATAAATTACTCTTTCTTTCAGACTTGATGTGCATAAAGTTTCAGTTGGTGTAAATATAACCTCTGAGTGGCACCAAATGATATTGAATTTGACTCTTGGATTTCCCTCTAGTCCCTTATATCTGTCAAATTTTAATTTTTGGATTCACCATGGCATTGAATATTTCAGTCCCAAGTTTCATTGCTTCATTGCAATTAGTTGGTTCATTTCTTTATAATTTTATGTGATAAGGGGTTGTTTGTTGCTGATATAGGATGCCAAGGATCCTGAAACTCTTGCCAACCTGGTTGCATGCAGTCTTCACCTTGGTAAATCATCTTCACGTTACCTAAGGTAAACTAGCTATTCATTTTCTCTATTTTTGTTTTTCCTGGCTTTCTTTTATTGAGCTCTCTCTTATCAGTTTGGATGGTTGATAAGTCTTAATAATATTTTCTCTAAATTCTCTATAAAAGATTACAAACATGGCTAGTTTAGCAGATTGGAAAAAGAGTGCATCATGTTCAATAGTTATGCTTGGCTGCTATATTAATGGGATCCAATACTGTAAAAGGAGTTTTCTATTCATGTTAGCATACATTTTCTGTCTTTCTATCAGATGTTGTAGACCACTGCAAAAAGAGCATATCTCTGCATCTGCTAGCCAAACTGCTAAGTTCCTAGTCTGGACTACGTAGTTGGTAACTGATGTTGATAGCAATTCTTCAAACTGAGATTCAACCATCCTTTTCATCAATTACCACGTTCCTTATATCATCGAAATTTTCTGACCATATCTTTGTTTTCATGTATTTTATTTTTTGAAATCTAAGGCTTGAAAATCTTTCAATTGTGTGACTTTGCTGGTGTTGAACAGAACTTTGCTTATCAATGTACTTTAAAAATCGGCTTTTCCTCATGGCCAGTTGCCTTTGTTGCATTTCCCTGGTTCCTAATAATTGCACGATGAACAGGGCAGGCAGACAGTGCTACCTTATATCAATTGAAAAGGATCATATAGACTCTTTTACTATATAATTAAGTTGGGCAAAAGTGGATTCAAACTTTTGACCTCCTTTTTGGGGGAGACATAGACTCTTTTAATATGCATTTATATGATCACTTTGCAGCCAATTGAAACTCACACACCCAGAGCACATTCTTGTCAAACGAGCATCATCTGCTGAAGACAGCTTCGAAAGAGCAGTGCAGTCAGTTGCTTGAAAATATTGGAGTTAATTTTTAACTAGAATATAGGTATTTTTTGGGGGATATTGTTGAATAATGTATGTTTCTATTTCATTTCATCCGCTGCAAATGGTTTGGCCAAGACAATGTCTACATTTTTTGTTGTAATTGTAATGCTGGCAACTTATCTTAATCTCGAGTTTAATTTAATTAGTTTATATAATTTTTTTAAAATATGGCATTGAATAAATTTAAAATTAAAATCTTAACTGCTATAATTTTTTTTCTCTATTTTCATGTTACAATATATATATATATATATATATATATATATATATAAACTTGTCTTGATCTCATTGTATAAAGGAGACTTTGAAACATTATTCGGATTATATGGTTTTTACTTATTGTGTGTTGATGATAAAATACCATAACCAATATCACTTGATTTTTGCCTATTGGGATTAGACTTGGTAACATTTACTTTATACACTCAAATTCAAAATTTAAAAATAAATTTTTATGCATTACACCTTATACTTTTTATACTCTAAATTTTCATTTTCCGTAAAAACTTCGCTCACTAGTAATATACCTAAACTTATTTTGAACCCTAAAACTAATTCTCCCTCTCAATCTCTAACCCAAAAATCCACCAAAAATCACTAAAATTCAAAGTTAGTCAAGTCATCAAATTTTAATTTAGAGGTAATTTCTTTGATTTTGTTTTGATTTTACTATTTTCATTTCATAAATTTGAGTAAAATTTATGCTGAAATTCGTAGTTTTCATATTTATATTTTTGAAAGCTTTAAGAAATTTTTGAATTTGTAAATTTAAAAATTTTTTAAAGTTTTCGAAGATGCAAATTCAAAACATTTTAAAACTTTTTGAATATGCATATCATAATAATTTAACATCATCTTTAAACATAGCAGAAAACATAACAAGATCATAATATGCAAATTTTTATTAATTAGTGTAATGAAGAAATTTATTAGTGAAAATATCATAAATTTTAAATTTATAAAAAAATTGATTTTGTTATTTTGACGTTAGAAAATATAAAATCTTATAAAATACTAATTAAACATTTCATCTCTTCATATTATAAGAGATAATAAAAAAACTATCAAGTTTGATCAATATCTGAAAGTTGAAATTCTTGAAAATTATATAAGTAGTATTACCAAATATTATATAATTTTGTTAAAATCTAATTTGCAAACCGAAGAAATCATCGTAACAAGTAAATAGAAAGATATCTCCAAAAAGTTCAATTCAGTTAAATCTATTATAAAATTTTAATAATTGATATAACAAACTTTATTAAAAAAGAAATGATAAATTTTAAATTTATAAAAAAATTATATTTACTATTTAATTCTTAGTTTAACTAAAATCTCATAGATTTTATTCTTTTTGAAAATCTTAGTTTAATTAAGATTTATTCTCTCTATAAGGACAAAATAGTAAAATTAATTTTTTTACTAATTTTAAAATTTATGATTTTTTTCAATAATAATTTTTATTATACCAATTAATAAGAATTTCTAATACAATTCTCTTTTTTATAATTTTTCTAAAAATTTTATTTTCTCGCTTTTGGAAAATCTATTTTTGATAAGTTATAAATTTTACCAAATATAATTGTCCGAAAATTTGTGAAAAAAAAAAACAAATTTACTTAAAAGAATTTAAATAAAGTGAGATGTGAAAGAGAAAAAATTAGAGTGCATTTAGAAGTATCCCTTTTTAATTTGTATAAAAAAACCTTTAACCCTCAAATCAAATTAAATGTCAAAGCTGATTTAATCTTAAATTGAAAATTATTGACAACTTTAATATATTGTATAAATAATTTTTAAAAGTTAAAAATTATTTTTAATCTATGTAATGCGTAATTTTTAATTATATAAATTTGATATAATGGTTTGCATATAAATCTTTTATATAAAAGCATTGATTGGTCACATAGTTGAATTTCAACTTAAATCTTATTATTCTAATATGCAAATTGATATTCATACAAACAAATTAAAAGAATTTGTTAAAAAAGTTTATCTTTACGTAGATTTTGTATGTTTCTAAGAATTTAAATCAACTTCAAGAATAACAAGAAAATAATTTCACGAAGGATATACTATATAATATTTATTTAATAAGTAAAAAAAAAAAAAGATTCTAATATATCTTCTAAAGGTGAAATTATTTTTTATTGACAACAGAATGATAAGTTTTTTAAAGAAGAATTAGATAAGTTTAATAATTTTATTTACAACAAAATGCTTATGACTCTCGAAAATTGTTTGAATGAGGTATATCGTTTACAAAAAAAAAAAAAAAAATTATCTTTAGAAGAAAATAATAATTTATGATATATGTTATTTGTATTCATAAAATTTATTGTTTTTTGGTTAATTAGTCTTTGTAAAATTTATTTATTCATAGTAAAAAGCTTCTTATTTCCATGGAAATACTCATTATAAACCAAACCAGGATCAATAAAGAGTTATTTGTATTTTGTTTTTTTTTCTTCTATTTTATAATTAAATATCTTTTATTAAAATTTTAATCACAATTCAATATTAATCCATTGAAAAATACACTTAACATATGTTAAATATCTTTCATAATATTTTTAAAAATTTAATTATAAATATAATTTTTTATTACCTAAAAATGTACAATTAACAAGTTACAAAGAGACTTTTTGTTATTGGTTTTTACATTCTTCATAACTTGAAAAATCAAAGCATGAAAGGCAAACTCTTTATAATAGAGGTGAGAAAAAAATTGATAAATTCAAAAATTAATTCAAAATTATAATATTCAATTCAGTTAAAATCGATTTTTTTATTTAATTCGAATTAAATTTAAATATTAAATTTATATATTAAGTTCAGATTGAATTTTGATTGGAAGGTGAAAAATTAAAAAAAAATCTAATCGAACCGAATTATATATATTTTAAATTTTTATAAAATAATAATAATAATTTTATATCAAAATCTATTTAAATATATTAAAATTTTATATTAAAATAATATATAAATTTTAAAAAATTAAAAATTACAAACCGATAAACCAAACCGAATCCAACGGATAAAATTCAATTAAATTTGATTCAATTCAAATAGAATAAAATTTCAATTCGAATTTAGATCGAATTTTAAAATTTCATAATATTATACAATATTCAAAAAAATTGAATCGAATACGATTCGAATCATTATTACATCCACTTTATAAATAAGCATATCTCCTTCAACCTAAAGCCTAAAGATAAAATAATAGAATATTAGAATATCAATTTTTTTTTTATTCTCCTCCATTTAACTTCCTAGTGTACCATGACTTGTGAATTTTCAGTAGGCACAAAGCCAGCATCATTGAATCTACTGGCAATGAAGCAGGGAAGAAGACATGAGAAAAGGATCAATAAAAGCTATACCTGAGGCTGGCATCATATTATTAAGCTATTATTCTCTTCAAATACACATATAATGAATTGGCTGCTCTCTATAAACTACCCAAATAATGTAATAGCCTCCCCTCTTCTGTGTGAATTAGCCTTTTGCTATAAAATGCTGTGAACTACTTAAGAAACCATCATCTAAGAGGCTCCATATCCGTTACGATGCGCCTTTTGCCATCTCCATGCAATCTGTAAACTCTCCTGGAGATCAGTATATTGAGCTGTCCAGTTCAGCTCACGCCTGATCTTAGTTGGATCACTAAACACTTCAGCATAATCTCCAGGTCGGCGGGGAAGATAGTCAACTTTTATCTCCACCCCTGTCGCTTTCTTACAGGCCTCTACAAACTCCTTCACTGATCTACCTCTTCCAGTGCCAACGTTGTAGATTCCTACTTTACGGGGCTTTGCCTTTTGAAGAGCTTTAACATGAGCATCAACCAGGTCAGTAACATCAATATAATCGCGTATGCAAGTGCCATCATGTGTTTTGTAGTCTGTTCCCTTGACCTGCAGGAAAGCCCAAAAACCAGATTAACAAAATCAGAATTTAATATTAGAATATAAGCACTGAATGCCACCAAGATGTTACTTAAGTGGTTCATGGAAAATTTTGGGTGATGTACCAAAACCAAATCGCCAAAAAGCTTGAAGACTTATCTTTCCATTGTGTACTGAAATCATTTTGAACCAAGAAGGCAAAACCATGACATTTGGAATGACAGGTGTGATGACATTATAATGGTTACAAGTATAAAACAAACATGCAAACAGCACATGCCAGATTCAATTAAAAAGAACAGTTGTAATAAAGAATACACAGTTTATTTTATCATACATTACATGACCTTTTCACCCGAAAAAGAAAAGCATCATTGTTAAACATGTGAAATGACAGATAATTCTTCAAAAAAAAAAAAAAACCTCAAGAATTATGTAGGTGCTTGCAAAGGTGACGTCAGCAGAAAAAAATAATATCATATACTCAAAGCATCCAGTTCTGTAAAATCATTATCTACAACAAACTTGTTTCAAGGAAAAGATGAAATGTAGACATTATAAATGTTCATCAAAATTTCCCTAGCAGCTGTAAGCTGTCAAACCATGGAATTATTTATATATACTTTTGAACTTCTCTATTTGTTATTCACACAGAAACCATCATCAATTTGATTGAGCCCATATTAGGCCATCACTTTAGTAGCCTTCATTACACTTCCTCATGGGAAGGAAGAGAATAACATTCTCAAAATGATCCAATTTTACATCAGCTTAGACTGCTCGAGCCTTCAAAAAAGGCTGCTGCTGCTACTTGGTTTTAACAGCAGAACTTTCAATAAGATCTGCACCATTTTTACCATTCAGAATCTTCCTAACATCTGTCAAACTGTTATCTAAGTTGTGGTATATGACTAATTGTTGACTTATTGACCCCAAGTTTAGCTAGAAATACAAAGCAATACTGAAGATGAGCAAATTCAAGGGATAAAAGGAATAGCATACCTTTAGACCAGAAACGATGCCACGAGCTGCATCAAAACAAGCACCTGAAATTCGTCCATGCTCACGCAACTCAGGTCTGGGAGCCTCACCTAATCTTCCTTCAGGATCTGACCCAATCACATTGAAGTATCTGAAAGATATTCACCCAAGGTATATGAATTCATAACCACTGGAAAATTGTTGGACTATTATTAATTGTGGTCAGAACCGTACACATTGAACAAGATACAAGGAGTTCTTTGGGGTCTATAAATTTCACCAATCCTAAATTTGTAATTATAGTGATCTGAAATAAGCAACCTTCTAAGCTTCATTTTGCCTATAGGTAGCCTAAACCTTTCATGTATATATGCAGCTGTTAGCTTGCAGAACAATAACAAAATAATGAATTAACTCCCTCTAATTATGTAAAAAATATAAGAATCTACAAGCCCTACACAAATTACTTATTTTTGGTTTAAGGTGTGGAAGACTTATGTGATATTGTTAAGTTACTAAAATTATGCATGTTGAGATAAAGAAAACAAAGAGTAAATAAGAACACCATATCAAGAAAAGGTAAAAAGCAATACCAAGATTCTCAAAACTTCTAAAAATAAACTAAAATGCAAACCTTAGGATCATAACAGCCATGTCTGAGTTCTTAGAGAAATCCAGGATGATATCTTCTGCCATCTTCTTAGCTTTTCCATATGGATTGATTGGAACCTGAGTTGGTCACAAAACAAATGTCAGTTGCATTGAATTTTAACTGCATATGCATTGAAAACAAGTTGATAAAGGTCGCTCCTTTAATTTATTGGTCTCAAACAAAAATCTAGAAAATAACTAAGCATAAAACCAAGTTTGCAACTTGCCTGCGGGGTTTCTTCAGTGATTGGCATCTTTTCAGGCTCCCCATATGTGGCACATGTACTAGAATATATCAGAGTCCTAACACCATGAGCAGCCATTGACTCCAAGACCATCAAGGTGTTTGAAGTAATGTTGTGATAATACCTGCACATCAAAGCCAAGCACACCATAGAGAACATCTTAGTTAAAATATTATGGAATGACAATTTCAAATAATACTAAGTAATCAATCGTGCGGTAACATTTCTCAACCACACATAAAGGAGCCAATCTTAATATATTCTGATTCTCAAAAACAAAGTGCAATAGATTCTGATGCTTTTCCCCTGAACAACAGTATCAAAACACAGTGATTTCCAATGGAAAAGTTAACGCAAATAATAAGAAGACATGTAAAAGGTGATGTCAGCAGCAATGGCAGTAGTTTAGCAAATAGCAGCCAGCACTGTTTGTTGGAAGAAAGCACTCAGAAAGAAAACAACAAAAGGCACACCCCAATTCCAAGGTCAGTTTCTGTTGCATTTTGAATTGTTAGGTAAGAGAATGAAAGGGCACAAGACAATTCTAAAGGCTTTATACATAGAAGTCAAGATGTTACCAAGCATACTTGGTAGAACAAATCCATATACAGATCCACATAAATAAAATGAATCCAACTTAAATTTCCTTATGAAATCTAGTGACCTCGAATAGCTCTTCTCTAAACTGCTCTTTTGGTGATGGGAAATTTTTAGCTTCATTCCTAGTGCTATCATAAATCATGGCAAGCACAGTTACAAAAACTTAAAAGAATTAGCGAAATTGAATTGACCTTAGAAAATGGAATATCTGCCATGTAACTTAGAATATAAGCTTAGGTAAGGGTTGCCATCAGCAGCACAAATGAAGCATATACTCCTTATACTCATTTCACATCACTATAGCACACATTTAAGTTCTTCAACTAATTCAGCTCTTGTCAAATTATCAATTTTCGTTTAGCATAAAACAGCCAAATAAGCAATCTACTTCACAGCTCATTGACCTATATTAACTCTGACAATCATAAATCATAGAGGAGACTTACTTGAGAGGATCAAGTGTACTCTCCCCAACATATGCAACAGCCGCAAAGTGCATTACAGCGTCAAATGCATTTTCTGAAAATATTTTATTTACCTAAAATATAGAATCAAGGAAACAGTATTGAGCATTTAAAAAAAATAATCATAATAAATTTCACTAAAAGGATACAGCTTTTGCATCCCCCAGATCAGCATAAATGAATTGAAGCCTTCCAGGTTCTGGAAATAATTCTTGTAGAACCCTGACAGCACCTATGTTTCCACGTGAAAGATTGTCCTGCAAAAGAGGTAACTTCTTCCTTAAAAACCCAGACTAATCACTATGCACAAGCTGTGAAAGATTAGAGAAGGAGATAGTTACATATCCAAAACTAAAAACATACCACAATAGTTACACGGTATGACTCCTTCAGAAGTCGTAAAGCAGCATGTGAACCAATATAGCCAGCACCACCAGTTACAAGAACATGAGTTACCCCTTCTTCATGTTGAGAGAACTGGAAAGACAGAAGTTGAGAAATGGAAAAAGATGTCAGAAGTTGATATATTATAGAACTGAGAAACAGCCACTACTACAGAAACAACAGGACCAATTCCAGGTTTTCATATAAAGTAGCAGCAATTATAATTTTCATTATGTAGAAGTGAAGATGATATTAACCACATGCAAGAAGCAAATGACACATCCATAATCAAGTGAACAACTTGATTAAACTAAGTCTACAGCATGCAACGACAACATTCAAGGATGAATTCTTAAGAAAAATGAAATAGGGTTTGGCTATAATCGCTGGTGGAACCCCAGAAATGTATGACAAGACATAAGAAATATCTTAACAAGTGAAAAAAATAATGACAATGGTAAAAAATAATTGATATTTGTTCTTCAATTATCAAAAATTTAATCAAACGTCTCATGAGAAACATGAGGTACAATCTTTTGATAGAATGAACTGGATATCATACAAAGAACAAATAGTTGCCTTAATTTTCAACTGTCATTGTGCATTTTAACTTTAGTATAGCAGAATAGAAATGGAAGTAGAAGAAATAGATATAGAATCCAGTAGGTACCCGACTTGGAGTACTGAACGTTGGGGATTGCTTGAGCATTACAATGCATAAGGCTGTAAGGGTTGCAGCCAAAAGGATTTTTCCTACAAAATTGCTCTTCCTTTTGGAATCAGGATATTCCATGCCTACATGCAAAACACGAACAACAAAGTGTATTAAAACGTAAGCAAGTCATGTTCCAATTCATAAATAACTGAAGCATAAATTAAATTGCAAACATAACAAAATACATTTTTTTCTACATTCAGTAACAAATTGTTACTAAAATTTTGAAAGATAAAGGTACAAAAGAAAAATTAATTTCAAGAAGTTTCTCGGAAGAGATGATTTGTTCTTTATAAAAATAATTTCCATAAGATTCTCAGAAGAAAATAATTTCTTTCCAAATTTCACACAAATGGGAAAATTTTAGAATGAAATGGCAGGATTAAGTCCATGTGCAACAAGAAAAAAAAAGGGCATCAAATTCATAAAACTAAATAAATCAGAAGTGGCTTAGAATTGAAATTGAGAGAAAATCTTACCGGCAAAAGGCATAGATCTAGTAGACCTTGGCTGGCTTCTTCCTCTTGCAAAATTTAGCATTTGGAAAAAGCTTCTCAGGAATTGTGTTAAGCAAGAACCAGAATTTATGTCTCAATTTCAGTGATCAGGTAAAGACCCTTCCCTGGAAATGCTCCTGCGGCCAATGTGCTGCAAAAAAAAAAAAATGATCAGAACATTTCTGAAATATTAGGAACACAAGATAGACGTATCAGAATCATAAACAGAAAAAAGTAAAACAAAATTACAAAAATCAATAATAAATGGGCCCTCCATTGGATTTTACGAAAAAAAAAGAAAAAGAAAAAAAGAAAAAGACATCACAAAAGGTTGAATTTGAAAAGTATTAAAAAATTTTTATAGCAGAAAAAGAAAACCCAGGAATTTTTTCATAACCCCAACTCAAAATTCTATAACCACTGACAGAAGAGAGCCAGGAATTCAAGATCCAGAAAACCAAATAACAAAAAAAAAAAAAAACGAAAAATCAAAGAGATGAAAATAAAAATAAAAAATAAAACTCATTTACAAGTCTTTGTCGGAGCATGCCTGCGCAAATACAGAAACAAACCAAGTTAATGAAATAAAGCTAGAAACCCAAATCACCCATGAAAACAACAAGAAAAATCCCTTCATTGAAATTTGATCATGCTCAAAAACGGTATGTGAATTCAAAGAAAATAAAATAAAACTCAGACTTCAACGGCAGAGCCACAATAGGGACGGAAAAAAAAAAGAATTTTACCTGAAAATACAAAAAAAGAACATTAATAAGGGTTTAAAGGTGGCCAAAAAAGACCAAAAGAAAAAACAGAGCCAAGAGAAAGAGGCTTCAAGCTGGCATCAACAAAACGATGTAATATCAAATTTATAATACATGCAAATATGCAAAGCAAAAAAAAAAATTTAATAAAATAAAATAAAGAAAACACAAAATTAAAAAGTTAAAAGTAAGAAAAAAAAAAAAAATACCCACCCACGATGATTGAAAACGTGAGAGAGGGAAAAAGAGAGGAAACGTAGAAAGGAGAGGAGAGGAGAGGAAAGGAAATGAAAGAGCAGGTCCCGGTCTTACATGGGTACGTTTGAATAATATAAGCGAAGAGCTTAAAGAAAAAGAGTTGTAGTAGGCGGAGTTTTCTCCGTGTTCAATTGTTCATGATGTCAACCAAAGAGCCAAAACAAAAATACAAAAATTATTAATTTACAATGATATTAAAAATTATCATTTTTAAATAAATAAATTTATTAATTTTTCAAAAAATACACTTTATGTAAGCTTTACGAAAATGGAAAATGAGATAATTTAATAAAAAATTGATGCAAGAAGGTATAATAAATTACAAGAAAAAAACTAATTTGTCATAAAAACATAGATATTATTATTAAAATATCTATAACATAAATAAAAGTAATTTCCTAACTCCCAATTTTCTGTACAGGTCAACAAAGTAATTAAAAATGATTGATGGGTAAATTTGGTAAAATGTTCGGGAATATGTTGCTTTTTGGAAAATAAAAAAAGGGTGGGAAACCTTTGGAATGGGAAAAAGCTTTCTAAGCAAAAAAAATTTGCTGTTTTTCTTCCGCCGGTGATCTTCATCTAAACACAACCCATTAAACCTACAAAAGCTACTGGTGTTCCATCCACCAGATCATGCTTATTATGATTATGATACTAATGTTGATGACCATAGCCATTATTCTTTCTTTTCACATATTCATCGGCATCTAACTTCAAAATTGCCCAATAAGCCACGGAAGAAAAAAACAATGCGGTAGAAGCAGAAGAACATGCAATGGCTTTGTTAGGTGCCCAAGTCGACGTAAAAGACGAAGAAGAAGACATGCAAGGAAATCAGGAAGAGTAGGGAAATCATCGTAGAAAATTAAAGTATCATTAACATCAAAAAAGTAATTTTGCTGTTCATGGTGTAGACATCCATTTATGTCTATGGTCAATCAAAATTTTCGGAGTTACTTAGATTTTGCTTTTATTATTATTATTCGATTATTAGTATTAGTATCATTTTATTAGTATTATTACTACATAGTACAATATTTTGTATGGTAATATAGTATATTATTATTATTATTATTATTATTATCTTTTTTTTTTTTTTTAACTATCGGTGATCAAGGGAAACATATTTGGATTAAATTCAATTCTTCTGATCAATGGGTTTTAAATCAGAACCCAAATCAAAGGCTTTCAATTTCATCAAAAACTAATCAGGAATCATGCTCAAACACAATCAATCCATACTTGAAACTTGATTTAGGTTTTTGGGTTCGTTCGAAAGATTTTGGGCTTAGATTTAAGTTTTTAGGAACTTCTTGAAGGGATTTGGGCAAAAATTGTGGAATCTGGAAAAGTTTGAGAAAATTTGATTTTTTTTTTTTTGGAAAACATGAATTTTTGATAAATGCTTGAAGTTTTCAATGAATTTTTGGGCAAGAATTTGAATTTTTCGATTAGGTTTCGGTTAATTTTTCAGAAACCAACAATAAACTCAGTTTTCAATTGAATTTCTAGTGATTATTTTAGAGAGAGATCATAGAAAATTGGGGTAGAAAGAGAAGGAGCAAAGAGCATATGAGGTTCTTTTTTGATAAACTTTCTTGGCTTAATACTACTAATTATTGCCACATTCTTTCATTTACAGGTATTTTCTCAATTTGTTTGGCTTAAGGGGTTTATTTAGTCTAATTCTAGGACAGGAAAATGGCTAGTATTGGATCATGAACTTCTTGTTATGTTTTTTTTTTTTTTTTTTTGTATTAGATTGCCATCAACACTTCCTTTTATTTTTGGATTTATCATCTATTTATAGGGTTTCAACATGTAAATTGTGATTTTTTTTGCAGCAATGGATAATACACAGCGTATGGTGCAGATAAGTGGATTTGGCTTTGATCTAATAAAGATATTAATTCAATTTATTCTTCATTGAGTGTTGCAGGCTCAAAAAATCTTATAAGTTTCAGATGTCTAATATAATTTTACATGGTCTTATATTCCTCGTAAACCTATTCTTTATCTCTTTAATGGAGGTTATTTTCCTTAAGTAACATGTGTAGGAAGCAAATTAGCTAAATTTATTTCATTTGAGACTTATGTTATAACATTTTGGTCTTTATGCTAATTGGTTAATTGAAATCATTTTGCAATTACTTAAGTAGATTTGTTAGGGTTTTCTTAGCTGATAAGTTTAGAATAATGCCCTAAATGGTATTGAGTGGGCAATATAGTACTTATAGGCAGCAGTCACAGAACTTGGACGGTTTGCTTTCTAAAGAATCCTTCTTAAAATTTAATTGTTTTTATAGGCAACAAGTGGTTGTTGCCTTTTATACATTTAGAGTCAATCACAAGACTTATCATCAAAATTTTCTTTCTTTTTTTCAATCATATACATTACCATGTCCCATGCAAAGGTTATGAAGCCAAAAATAAGCCTTCATTTCTTGAGATTTTTAAGAATGATGATCATATTAACCTCATTTAACAATTCTATTCATTTTTCACGCCCAACAAATAGGATATAAAGGAATAACCCACCATGAAATTTGTAAGGGTGGCAGAGAATATGGAGCTCATTTAACTTTAATTATACGTAATTAGCACGGTCTGAGTTATGACCCTTGATTGCAAAAAAAAAAAATGATTCAACAGCACAATTTAGTATGATTCAATAGCATCAAGCCATTTCAAAGTTAAAAGAACCATTGATATCTTCATGCAAATATGAAATAAGTAATTTATATCCACTGTAATTGTAAAAAAGAAAGCATCATTGACAAACATTGTTGCAAAATAAAGCATCAAGGGCTTTATTATTCTTTATTATTCTTTACTAATGAAAATAAATCAAGAGAAAATAATGCTACGAGAAAAAACCCTGGACAAAACAAGAGTAGAAATCTAGTATATAAAAATTTATTCAAAACAAATTATATATGATGGAAAGTTTTTATAAATACTAAGTAAAGATCTTTTGAAGATTTACAAAAACTAAACGTAATTTTTTCCAAATTTAAATGGAGTATGAATTGATTTAAACTTTTTTCACCAAATATAAAATTGATTTCAAAAGTAGCACAAATTAGAAAATACAAGATTTCCCATATAATCAACCAAAAATAATTTTCCTAGGCATTGTGAGAGAAATTAATAAATTTAAATAATAAAATGTGGAATCTTAAAGGATGTGAATGTAAGAGCCAATAATATAGAGGCATTTGCGCTGCTGTGAAGACGGTTTAAATAGTGTCGCAATAAAACCTCGTAGCTATATTTAAGTAATTCATGTATTTATATTATATAAAATATTAATAATTTATATATTTATTTTATATGCAATTGGGAGGAGGCGAGGTAACGGAAGGAATAGGCTCCGTGTCACGAATTACTTGCCCACATGTCTGCTTTCTAGTGATTTGGGTCCCACACGTTCTGCTACTCACTCCTCTTCTTGCTTCTACAACACAGCCTGACTTTCCTTCCTTCTTTTTTTCATTTACTCACACTTCTTACAAAAGTTTCTTTTTACCATGTTTTGCTTTGACTGCATAAGTGATGTTTAACTTTTTACGTTCTTTGCATTTTGAACTCTCCTTAGCCTATTTATTTTTGGATTAATTGATATAATAATAAATTAATATTTTAAAATTACGAATTAAAAAAATTACATATATAATATTTTTTGATTAAATAAATATAACGATAAAAAATTTAAAGGAAATTAAGAATTTAATTAAAAAACCAAGTCTTTAAATTATTTTCATTGGCTTCTCAATCAATCTAACCTTGAATACTAATTATTTTAATAAATTAAGAATTTATAGATTTTATTATAATTTAGAGATCAGACATTAATTTTTGAAAAAAAAATATGATTACTAAATATAAATTTTCACTTGAGAAATTGACAAAGATATGGGAATTTTTTTCTGTTTTTTTTTTTTTTCAATCATTTTAATTTACGATTTCATTAATTAGTTAAAAGAAAAAGTGACTTTATCTCCGCATATTTGAACGTTTATTAACGCAAATATTAGGTGTTATTTGATAAAATAAAAAATTTTAATATTTAAAATTAAATTTTGAATTTTGAAAAATTGAATTATTGAATTTATAATATAAAAGTTTTTGACATACTAATGACAAATTAAATTTTTAGTAGATTTTTTATTAAGTATTTAATAATTGAGAGATATGATTTTATAATGATTTTCAATTGATAAAAGTTAAAAAGGAAGGAATAAATGGTTAAAAAAGGATATAATATTTAATATAATCAAAAAATATTTTTTCTAAATAAAATTAACTTAATATATTAAATAGCAAAAAGTTCATTTTTGGGCAAAAAAAAGCTAAAAGTTACTTAGTATTTCCAACATTTTTTATTAAAATATTTTCATTAATTAATTTCAAAAAATAATTTATCAAACATATTGAAAAAAAATGATTTATCAAACTAGTTATTGTATGTGTAATAGATTGATCAGATATGTTATGTTAATAATAAAGGTAAGTAATTCGCATAAAAGAAAAAAAATTAAAATTAAAATAAAAAAATGCTACGCCTACCATAATGTGGGAACGACACATTCAAGAAAGGGCAGGCCAAACCCAACCCCGCATAAATATAGGTGCGTTCGCAAGGGGATGGACCACCGACATATATAAATATATATTCAAAAAAGAGTTTTGGTAGATTTTTTAATAAAAAT